TACTATACAAAGAAATCTAAACTACACTCATATACGTTACTACTACGAAATTCACACATGCATCTGTACTTGATTTTCACATCATTTTCAGACATTTTACAAAAAATATCGGATTTTCTGGGTTTTTACAAAAGATACAAAGATTTTTATCCAAACATACTTATGAACTCACCAACATTATATATGTTGACCATTTTCAAAATAACTTGTATTCTCAGGTAATCGTTAAGCAGAAAGATTTTCAAGTATGCATGGTTTTATTGTATGTAACCTCGCTCATCGTACCATTAATACTTTGAACTTATGTAATTCATAACAATGTACTTGATGTGAACAATGTTGGTTGTTATATGTGATGTTGGCGATGAATGTGTTATGTTTCATGTATATTCATTGTGATGATAATCCAATTGTTAGTCACACGAGCCCCCGGACATTTCCGCCGTCTGGTTCGGGGGTGTGACATTGTAACATCCCAAAAACCCACGCTGAATTTTATGTTTTTAAATTAGTATGACATCTAATTTCATAAAATTCGATTCATGATAAAACCATCTGTTCATTAACCATTATTTAGAAATCAGAGTTATAATGAAGACAATGCAGAATCTTGAGTCATAAAAATTGTTGATGTGTGTGTACAGTCCCCCTTCGCAATCTGATAAGTACCTGCAAAATAGTTAATCAACAACTATAAAAACAAAGATTAGTGAGTTCCCCAAAATACCCCATATAACACATCATAATAATCAACTAAGGGTTATCAGCAGCCCTATGACTATTAGCAGTACTGAATATCACATACAACATAAAAATATAAACAATTATGGGTTATCAGCAACCCTGGGGACTATCAGCGGTCCCAGTGGTCTAACAGCATGCCTTGTGGATTAGCAGCACACCTCACATGTTATCAGCAACCATGGGGACTATCAGCAGTCCATGATTTATCAGCAACTCAGTTCACATATAACTAGGCCTGGCAATCGTGTCATGTTCGGGTTGGCGGGTCAAAATACGCCAACCCAAACATGAACCATTTAACTATACATGTCACGGGTTGGCTGGTTTGGAACATAAACCCATATATGACTCGCCAACCCATTTATTTATACGGGTTCACAGGTTGGCGGGTTCGTGGGTCAGATTTAGGTTCGTGGGTCAGATTCCATAAATAAAAATGATAATTAAACATGAATAAATTCTTGATGGTTGATGCAAACATATCCAAATTTTAGACACTTAAGTCTTAAACATCCATGGGTAAATGGGAAGTCATCACCATCGATTTTGTGACTAAACTATCCTGGACGAAGAACGGTCATGACATGATTTGGGTAGTCATGGATCGTTTCACAAAGAGTGCACACTTCGTAGCAGCCAATGAGAGATGGTCTATGGATAAGCTTGCAAATGCTTGTGTGAAGGAGGTAGTAAGACTTCACAGTGTATCATTAACGATTGTATCGGATCGTGACAGTTGTTTCACATCAAGATTTTGGAGGAGTCTACAAGAGGAAATGGGTACGAAGTTGTGTTTAAGTACGGCCTACCATCCGCAGACTGATGGTCAAAGCGAAAGAACGATTCAAACATTGGAAGATATGTTAAGAGCATGTACCCTAGAATTTCAAGGTAACTGGGATGAGCATTTACCCCTGGTAGAGCTTTCCTACAACAATAGCTACCATTCGAGCATCAATATGGCACCTTATGAAGCCTTGTATGGACAGAAGTGTCGTACGCCATCTTGTTGGCTTGAGGCCGGAGAGAAGCAGTTTATGGGCCCCGAAATAGTCCATCTGACTGCTGAAAAGTTGAAAGTGATTAGAGAAAGAATGTTAGCGGCTCAAGATCGCCAAAAGAGCTATGCTGACAAGAAGCGACGACCGATGACATTCAAATTTGGAGATTCGGTGTTGCTCAAAGTCTCACCGTAGAAGGGACTTATACGCTTTGGAAAGAGAGGAAAGTTGAGTCCAATGTTTATTGGACCGTTCAAAAGTTCTTCAGAGAATTGGGAACCAAGCTTACAAGCTGGAATTACCAGAAGAACTAGATGGTATCCATAACACTTTCCATGTGTTTTATTTGAGGAATTTCATGGGGGAAGTTCCCGATATAATTCCACTTTCGGAGTTAAGGATGGATGAAAATAAGAGGCCAATCGAAAAGCCTGAGGCAATTGTTGACCGTAAGACGAAGAAATTACGACGCAAGATGGTTGACTTGGTGCTTGTGCAATGGAAACATACAAATGGGTCGAACATCACCTGGGAAACAGAGGGTGACATGATGAGTCACTATCCACATCTGTTTTCTAATGCATGATTCCGGGACGGAATCATCCTAAGGAGGATAGAATTGTAACGCTCGTGTTTGTAGGCTAAGCATTTATAGTACGATGTAATAGTTAGGGTCAACAATTGTAATCTATTTTTTAAGTAATGAAGAAGAATTATTTGAGTATTATGTGATTTATGTGATTTTGTGTGCATTATACTTATTTATAAGATATAATAAAATAAAGATATAAAATAAGCGTCAAAAATAAAATAATAGATAGACCCAATATCTATGAATAAATTTGAAGTAGTCGTAACAAGGATTTCGGGGATATAAGGAACACTGAAATCCGACTTATAACGAAGAAATTTTACGACTAAACCGGAATGACACTGTGTGACGTAAAAAGTGAGTTTGCGATAAAATACTTTTTTGCCTTAGCAATCTAATCGAAATTCGTATTATATGTTAAACCGAGAACGTACATAAAAAGAACGTCCAAATCTGACTTCGTATGAGGAAGTTATGATTTTTTTTAAGATTTAGCATAGCAGTGCACAACCTGGAAATCGAATTTTACATCGATCAATTTCTATCCGACACAACCCAAATGAGAACTGAAGATCTCATTAATAGGATTTCGACGATAAAAACACAGTCGAAAATGGAGTCCGTATGTAGAAGTTATGAATTTTACACGGTCGTTAATAGTGTAATCTTGTCAGACTGTTAAATTTAAAATCGGTCAAGAATTAGCCAATGGGGTCAAAAGAAAAGTCGTAGATCTTGTCAATACCTACGTGTGGATATAAATAACGTCAAAAATGGAGCTCGTATGCGAAAGTTATGATTTTTTTAAATGTGACTGTTTTACCAGCATCTGGTGCCACGTGTCAGCACCAGGCTTCGCCTTGGTGCCTACGGAAGGCTCACGAAGTGAGAGCCATGTCTCATGACATGTGATGCCCCTAGATAGCCTATAAATAGAGGCATATATCACCCCAAAAACTCACACCTTCACCCTTCTTTCTCTCTCAAACATCTCTCTAAACCCCTCCCCTTCCCTAGTACTTCCTAAGTGCTGGAGGTGAGTCCCGAAGCGCCAGAAGACTCCGAGAAGAAGAGCTTTTGGCTTGGAAGTTCTGCCCCCGCAGAGCCCGATTCCTAGCCAAACCCTCTTATAAGTAAGTTATGTTTATCCTACTTTAATTATAGCTTATGTTTAAGTTTAATATCGTTATTATGAAACTATAAACAATATACGTATTATAAAATATAATATACAAAGTGTTATTATAATATCTTTTAACTACTCGCGGTACGGGGAATCTGGTTTGAAGGGCCGCATAGGGTTGTTGGATTTCAGAAGTGCTATAATGCCAAAATGGTCCTGCCCTCCGGTGTTTCATGTCTGGCTCTGTATGTACATAGTGGTTGAAAAGTATTGTTTAACACTTATAAAACAATATCGCTCGTAAATAGTCGCAATAAATATTAGACTAAAATCTAGCGGTAATGATACTAGGTTTTGTCAAAGGAAAATAGAATTGTTAGAAGTGAAGCGCTGTCCAAGTTCGGAATCATCACTTTAACAAGTGAGTGCATAGTTACTTTCATCTTACACATAAATATGAAGTATTTAATATAAATTACGTGATATGGGTGCATACTATCTGCGTTCTTGATATCTATGCTGGATGAACAAAATATACATGTTTTATTTGATTTAAACTGTATATGTATTTTTATACCGATAATTATAATGGGTAAATATGGGTAGATAAAATAAATGATGAAAGAGGATATAAAATTGATGAGAGGCCTCGATGTTTAAGATGATCCAGTCATCTAGCAGAGTATAGATGACGACCACAGACTATTCTAGATAATCCAGTGGAACGCTAGCGGGCTCGCAACTTGTAGGTGTTTTTTGAACTAAGTGTTCATCAGGTGTACTCCATCCCCCTCATGGTTGCCTTACTTGACATATATTGCTAAGGAATCCCCTAAGCAGTGTTTTTATCCCGATGAAAATCCTTAGGCTAGGTCCCTTAAATTAGATGCTTTAGGGACAGAAAGTGAGGATAACGGGAATGGGTAATCGTGTTGATTGATTGATGAAAATTAATAACTTAATTATTGTGTGTTGAAAACCCTATGTGCTCACTAGGCTCCCAATGCTGACCCACTCAGTTTCTTGTATACAAGTAGTGGCAAGAGAGCACAGGAGTGATGATCTGATGAGAGATCAATGGATTATAGGCCACTAGAATAAATAGATGTTGTAAGGCCTATGTTGTTTCTTTTTATGCTTTTGATCTTTATTGACAATGACATCCCGAGGTTTTTAATATAATGAAAATACATTTATTCGGAAATGCTTTGATAAATTCTTTATCATATTTTTGGGAACAAATTCCGCAAATATTTCTTCAAAAGTATACTTTGACTTTCAAATAAAGCATAAACAAATCGGTCTTTTCTGGCCGTGAAATTGGGGATGTCACAACAACATCAATTTGTTTCAATCCATCTTGTACAACCAGATTCAAAATATGAGCACAATATCTAAGATGAAATAACTTGCCATCATATACCAAAGAATTCATTAAACATAATTGATTTGTAAGAAACTCAACACATACATCATTGGATGCTGCATTATCCAAAGTTATAGAAAACAATTTCTTTTCAATTCCCCAACTTTTGATCAATTAACCCAAATTTTCAGCTATAGCTACACCTGTATGTGGAGGAGGGAAGTGGGAAAAGTTTAAAATTCTCTTTTGTAAGATCCAACTGCTATCAACATAGTGGGCAGTCAAACTCAGATAACCATCTATAACAATTGAGGCCCAAGCATCAGAAGTCAAGCATATTCTACTAGGGCATCTAAGCAACTCATCACGAAGTCTTTTTTGTTGAGTAGCATATAACTTTTTGATATCAGATTTTGATGTGTTCTTACAAACAAGACTCGCTTCTGGTTCCAAGTATTTGCAAAAATTTCGAACTCCTTCATACTCAAAAAAAGAGAATGGCAAGTCATGTATAACCATAGCATGAGTCACCATTTCCTGAAACGTTTCTTGACTAAACTTTGGATTTCTTGTAGCCATAACACCATTGTTGGAAGAAATCATTTATTGACCGATATCTCTAGTATTTGAGATATTACATGAATCTCGATGACGGCGTAGATTACCTCTTCCATTTTTGCTTTCTCCTTGATATTTTGTCCCATATTTTTTGCACTTACAATATAGGGGCTCATTTGGTTTTTGTGGGAGCATTTCAAAACTTCTCCAAACATCTGAAGTTTTTTTCCTTTTTTTTCCTTTGCTTTGTAGAAGTACTCTCAACTCCTTGTGATACACTTTCCGGCCCAATTTCTTCAACTAAATCATCACTTCCATCATTAACATCCAAAGGATTGGTGTTAGTAGTATCTGCCATAACTCTCCTACAATGAAAAATGGGAGGAACATCAAGTATAGAAACAAAGTATCACATCCAACATCAACATCCAAACTGATAACAAAAATTAAATATATAAATAAAAAGCTTGTATTGTTTTAGTGATAACTGATAACACAAACACTTAAGTTGTAGAATGTAGATGCAGGATAGACCTGAAGAGATGATATAATAACATTGATACAAAACATACACTGATACAAATTTTCCTGTTCAAAATTTCTGAGGTGTTATTATGTAATCAGAACATACACATCACTTTCTGATTAAAAACCAACATATATACATTAAATGAAGCAAGGTTTGGGTTTTCTTAGTTAAGTGTTTGTGTTATCAGCTTATCAGGTCATCGACAATCTCACAATCCTATTATAACCACACATACACACTTCACCTTCTGATTACAAAACCAAATCCATAAGGAACTAAAGAAGTGCAGCTTGTAATCGGAAAAATGAGAGAAAATAACAGCTTAAGAAACATACCATATAACCAGAAGATTGTAATTGTGACTGACGTTCAGGGCTTCAACCTTCAAGCGCCATCGTCATTTGGGATTTTGATATTTAATTTTGATTTTCAATACTTGATTAATTGATTTCGATCACAGTCACTGAGTCATAGAGGGGAGAGTGGGAGACCGGGAGACTGGAAGTCTGGAAGAGGGTCGAGCCGTCGAGGGAGATACCGAGATATGCGATTTGATTTTGAGATTATTTAGGGCAAAATGGTTACAGACTTACAACCCGCCTTGCTACGAGTTACGATCTTAAGTCCTTAAGACCTTTACTCCTTACCGGCCACCCACGTCCCTCAAGTCAAAATGTGAAATGTCAAATGGTTAATGAATCAATGGTATAATTGTATATAATAATTAATAAATATTAATACTTGATACATTTAAAAATAATATAATTTTTATTATTAAAAATTTTAATGGGTTGGCGGGTCACCGTTTATTTTTATGAAACACATATATCACCTGTTTAATAAACGGGTTGGCGGGTTGAAAAAACTCAACCCAAACTCATTTATTTCGTGTCGTGACGTCAATTTCCAGCCCTACATATAATAACAATCAACAAATAAGACCCAACTGGTCATCATGTATATACTACCATACATGTAAGTATAGTGAGAAGACTCACCTCGTAAGTAGCAACTAATACCACAACTCTCACCCAACAAGGACTGATCCTACTTGGCACCTAACAACTATAAAGACTACCCTTTCAGTATACACTCCAAAACCCTTAGTTTGACCAAAATTCAACCCATGTCAACAAGTCAATGGTCAAAGTCAAAGTCAACAACCATCGATGATTTGATGTTGACATTATAGTGCTGGGCCCATCTGGGACTAAATTGATGTGTTCAATTGGGTCAACGTCTGATATGACTCAGAGTTCGACACTGGCTTTAAAAAGTACTCTTTGCTATCTGGTTCAACGTTATACTGGAAATTATAGTTATAGACTTATCCAACCGGGAGACTATTCGATTAAGGTGTCTAAGATCATAACTAAATTGGTATAAATTTGTAACTAGAAGCAAAGTCTTTTTTGGGTTGCACTAATAGCTAAAAACTGATGAGAATAACATTTCTAGAGAGAGGAAATAGTTATTAGTTTTATTATATGAATAATAAATTAATTAGAAATAGATTATGTTAATTAAGAATTGATCAGAATTAATTTGGAATTAGTTTGAGGTCAATTGGAATTAATTAGAAGTGCAAGGGTTGCTTAGTAATTTCTTAATAGTTAAGTAAATGATATGTTCTAGAAACCTCTTGCTAAGGACGGTTTTAGATGACTTGGAAGGCAATACATAATGTTCCAATTGATATAAGGAAAGTAGATAGTTAGCATGATTTGAAAGAATATTATTTTATGTTAATTAAGGACGGTTTTAGATGACTTGGAATAACGCTTGCAATTTTCGGCCACTTCTTTCTAAGATAACCTAGTCAAAAATTCACAACCCCTCTTCTCTCCCCTATCTTGTGTTGTAGTTTCTATCTTTGGGTATGAGCCATTAGAGGCATCATCCTTTTGGTGTTTGCTTTCTAAAGATCTACAAAAGAAGGAATCAAAGTAATTGTTTTCAATAACAATTGAAAGGTATTTAACCCTAAATCTATGAATTTTGATTTTTGTAGCGTTTGTGTAGGTTTTCTAGTTCATAGTATGTTGCCTTTAATGTGAAGACATAGATCCTTATAGGTTGCATGTACCATTAGTAGTTAAGTGTCATTTTCCGCATTGTACATGAGTTATAACCTTCGAAATCCATCAGTAATGTGGTCTTCCTAGTATTGTATGTTGATGACATACTCCTTATAGGAAACAATATTCCAACCTTATAGAGTGTCAAAAATTGGATTAGGAAATGTTTTTCTCTAAAGGACCTAGGAGAATAAACTTATATGCTGGTCATTAGGATTTATAGAGATAGATCTAAATGTTTAATTGGGTTAAGCCCAAGTACATACTTAGATAAGGTTTTGAAAAGATTCAAAATGCAAGGTTCTAAGAATCAATATCTACCCATGAAACATGAAATGAGATTGATTAAGGATAAATCTCCTAGAATTGAAGAATAAGTGTATAGAATTAGCCGAGTCCCACATGTTTCTGCTATAGGATCGATCATGTATGCCATGACATGTACTGCACCTGATATCTCAAATGCTCTAAGCACGGTGAGTTGATATCAAGATAATCCTAGCGATAGCCATTGGACGGTTGTAAGGAATATCCTTAAGTATCTAAGAAGAACTAAGGACATGTTCTTAGTATATGGTGGAAGAGAAGAATTGCGAGTTATAGGTTATTCAGATGCAATTTTTGAAACTGACGTGGACAACTCATGTTCATAGTCAGGTTGGGTATTCTTGGCGAATGGAGGAGCTGTTATGTGGAAAAGTTCCAAATGTAAGACACTGGAAAACTCAACATGTGAGTCTGAGTATATTGCAGCCAGCAAAGCAACAAAGGAAGCTACATGGTTGAAAAACTTTATCAGTGATCTTGGAGTTGCACCAATCATGAAAGAGACTATGGAGATGTTTTTTGATAACGAGGCTGCAATCGCCTTGACTAATAAACCTAAGGACCATAGTAATTCTAGAAACATACTGAGAAAGTACCATTATGTTGGACATAGAGTCGTATACGGAGACATCAACGTGAATAGGGTATCATCTGAGGAGAATCATGTTGATCCATTCATGAAGTTGTTATCAAAAGAGAAACATGATGGTCATGCGAGTACCATTGGCATGAGACTAGATAGTGATTTTCTGTAATAGTTTAGTTGTTAGTTTTAATTATTATGAAACATATAACAATATGAATTATAACCATTTGATGTTTATTTCATAGAGTACTTAATAAAGGGTTTTTTTGCTATCAAAGTTTTGCTAATTAGAATATTGTGTTCCATTTTTTCTTGTTTTGAACCTAATTCTAGAATGTTTAATTATGTTCAAACCTCCACAGTCGGCATCTAAGAAGTGTATGAGTGATATAAGACTGTTATGAGTAGTGGTTGATTGACCAAGGTGTTTTGGGCATTGCATAGAGATTGTGCTAATACTCATGAGTACTTGAAAATAGAGATTTTAAGTATTGGAAGAACCTACAATTAGAGATTACTTCACGGATGAAGTCATGAGTAATTCTAAGATGATAACATTTTTTATTCTTCAAACTGAGATACATATGGGGTTTTGTTTGCAAAAATCAGTTGTGTATTGGTGTGCTCCAACACTATCCGTAACTGGTATTCATAAAGGGTATTTTATGATTAAACGAGTAGATATAAACTGCATAGTCAAAGTTTATTTGTTCCTTCTCATAACTAGGAAGCGATATTTATGGGCCCCTCGACGATTTGGTGCTGACATCTGAAGTGCTTGGCTGATCCTTGACTAAATTGATGTATTCGATTTAGTAGTTAGATGTAATGTAAAAGTCATCAATAGGTAAATAGGATGTTGAACGTCGAGATTGACCATTATATATGTCTCGTGTTCATAGAGATATCTAGAACAAATGAATAAGTTGATCACTTTTCCAAGGACTGACTTTGATTCTGATCAGAGAATGGCAGTTGCATTCGATGCTACTCTCTTTTGATTATTAGTGAAATATTATTTTGATCATGAAGTTAACAACTTGTCCAAATAGGAAACTATTGAAAATAATGTCAAATGTCATTAACTATTTTGATAATATTTCTAATAATAGTAGAATCCTTTTGGATTGGCCTCATGACCCAAATAATATAATGAAATGGAGATAAATAACTTCTAATTTATTAAGGAATTTATAATTAATTAGAAATTATTTTGGCAATTAATTAAAAGGTTTTAATTAATTAAAGATCTTGAATATTAGTTAATCTAAGAGATTACTAGGAATATTCCAAAAGCTCCTAGAGAGCTTCATATTGACGATTTTGGCTACTCCTGAGATAAGGATAAGGCACGTTTGAATCAGAAGAATTAATCATAGAGTTTGAATCCTTTTAGGATTTTATTTGTTGTCTATAAATAGACTGCTAAGGGTCAAACCCTAGAGCTGGTTATTCATATATAAATTATTCACCTCTCTCCCTCTCTCTAAGTACATGAAATCCATAACCTCTCTCCTAGGGTTAG